ACCTGGGGATGGTCCTTGCATGCTGGAACCATGGGGACAAGATGATGCAACTGTGACGGCGACGAGCCGGAACCTCAGCCGCAAGATGATGCAACGGTGACCGCAGCGGGATGGAACTGGCGACAACTCCAACCGGAACCGTGTCGTGGGATGCTGCAACGGGGACCCTGAAGAGGTGGAACTGTCACTCGAGATGCTGCAATGGCGACGACGGCCAACTGGAACCGTGTCATTGGATGCTGCAATGGCGACCAAACCGACAATGACTTGTTTTCTTTGAGATGCAACGGGCCAAGGTCGATCGCGCACGCACGGGTCCAAGGCGGCAGTTGACCGTCCTTGTTGTCGCCTTCCCAGCACGTTGATGCGATTTTGGGGGGAAAACGAAACGGGTGCTTGGAGACAAAGTGGGGAGGTAGATGTGACGGCTGGGAGGTCACATCAAGAATTCCAATTCAAGTTCTTTTTTTTCATTTCACTATTCCTTACTCCAGGAGCCATGGAGAAAAGAATGATCCCATTCGACTTTTTTTAGTGGATTTGATTTCACTTTTGCGTTGAACAAAAAGGAGCCGTGGACCTAAAGCAGGCCGAATACAGAAAACCAGGGGACGGACACGGCCCAAATCGTTGGAAGAGCAGGGACAGAGCCCACATCGGAAGACAAGGGCGGAGTGTCCCAAAACGCAGACCCTTTTTCCATCTTCCTGCTGGAGGCTGCCGCTCCATTCCAAGCATGGCTGCGGCTATGCGCCATCTGATTTCTTCACGCCTCGCCGCATTGAGCAGAGCCGCCGCCGGGCGTCTGCGAAGGAAGGCTTCCCTAGCCGGTGGAGTCCGGCGGCTTGGACCGGTGGGGAAAGCGGATCCATGGAGGAGCATTTCCACTACGCCAGATTGGAACAGGTACAAGGGACCGCCGAAGCCGACCTTCTCATGGAAACTGCAAGATCTGCTCAACGATGATTTCTTCAAGAACGAGGCCAGTCTTTTCCTCTTCCTTCGTTTCTTGCTTCCATTAATCATATATATATTGACGCTCTGTACTAGTACTTGGCAAGGCTAAGTATAGCTTGCTTCTTCTGGATGAAGTATATACGTAATGTTAGATCAGCTGTAGAGCAAGCTTTCAAAATCAATTTAGGGCTCATATGGGATTGGGGGCTGTGTGAATCCTAATTATGCAGTGGCCGGATGTACACATTGTGTTTGTATTTTGATGCTTCATTATAAGTTAATAAAACACACCCTTTATCGAAAAATATGGGATTGAGGGGATTTTCTAAATTCACCGTTGATGCGATCACATTCAGTGCACGGGCATCGATCTAGCTGCGCTGCCGTTATTGCACATGGCTATATATTGTCAGCGTACTAATAGGATTTCTGTTGCATGAGGCTGCACTTCGTATCCCTTATTTGTATGGTGTTCTTTCTCATTGGTTGTTCTGTCTGGCTTTTTATTATATTTAAGTAAACTTGTGCTGGACCGTGTAAACGTTGCAACAATTGATTGACGGCTGTGTGCATCGATCGATGCAGAGGACTGGGTTTCAACCCTCTTTTCAAAAGGAAAAAAATGCTCCTACAAAGACCTGACAAGTTGCTGCTAACCTCTATATATGTATGTGCTTCATTTCATTCAGATTAAGGTGATACCAACAACTTTCACTTCGGTAGAGGGGTACATGGGTTCATTCATGGCTCCACTATTGGAAGAAGCTCGTGCCGATCTCTTCTCTGCATTGCGCGGCATCCGGCACGCACCGGTGGCCAAGTGATCCGGATCCAACAGGAACGCACTTCAGAATTCTGTATCTCGTTCAAGGAACCTCGGCCAGCTGGTTGTTATGCCCCGAAAGTCGAGGATATATTGGTGCTCACATGTCGGAAACCGAGCCGCCACAAAGACTTGGACCCATTTGTCATAGCTGTAGTGCCTCCATCCGAAGATAGTAAAAGTGAAAGGAACGATGGCGAAGGCACCACCACCGGCTCTTCTGATTCTGAAGATATGGACAATACTGTCACCTCTTCCCAAGACATAGCCATGCCATCTCTTCTCGAGAAAAATGCAACATCAGTTGATGTAGAGGCCTGGGCGCACCCCTTTTTCGAAAAAGAAAAGAAAAATGCACCCCAAGTGGTCGACACTGGCACAACAATATCAATAAGGCTGCTGTCGGGTAAACTACCTGTGAAACGACAAGGTCAAAAAGAAGTGATCGCATTGCCTCTTTTTGCGGTTTTTCTTATCAATATGAAGACGAACAATCGTATACATGATGCACTGGAACTGAAAGCCGGCATCCTTAGCCATTGGGGCAGTAGCCTCGTAGAGAGGATTGCAGAGTATGCTTCAACTGTATGTATCTATTTAGTACTATAGCATGGTTTGCGTCTTTCTACTCGATCATGATAGTTCCTATTTTCTGATGGCAGGTCAGCCAGGATCGCAATTCATTGTTGCCAGAGGTACCTTCAGGGTTAGCGTCACATAAGGCGCTGGATGGCCTTGAAAAATTCAAGCTCAACACCTCACAGCAGAAGGCGGTACTTGATTGTGTTTCAGCAATGGATCAAGCTAGGTGCTGGGTGCGCCTTATCTGGGGACCACCTGGAACAGGGAAAACCAAGGCCATCATATCTCTCTTGTGGTCAATGCTGATGAAAAACCACAGGACACTAGCTTGCGCTCCGACCAACACGGCGGTTGTGGAGGTTGCCTCCCGTGTTCTCGGTATTCTCGAGGATGAGTCCTATGGCGGCAGTGGAAAACACTTCTCCCTGGGCAATGTCGTGTTGTTTGGCAACGAAGATCGGATGAACGTGGATGAAAACCTCGCAAAGATCTTCTTGGATCGGCGTGTGTACCGACTTGTGAATGTGGCGACGAGCTGGAGGCACTATGTGAACCACATGCTAGAACTTCTTGCGAAACCGTTGTGTATGCACTCTTTGTATCTTAAGGATGTTCGATCGGAGCGTAGGGGTGATATTTTGCGGCTGCAAGGGGTGGGGGATGCTGAACTAGAGAGGAGGAGGAAGGTGACATTCAACGAATTCTTCATAGACAATTACGAATGTCATGAGGAAGCACTGCGCCACTGCTTCGAGACTCTCCACAATGATCTGCCCCTATCCGCTAGGAGATTTGATTACCTGGATGAGACCCTGCGCTCGCTCGAAGCTTTCGGGAAACTTCTCCGGTCCGAGCCGGAGCGCCCGCTTGGGAAACTCTTCTTCAAAAACGGGGGGTGGCCAGAGTTCCAAGAAGCAAGAGCATTGTGTCTTAACAAGCTAGAACACTTGCCCGATTGGTTTGATTTGCTTCCAAGCGATTCAAGCAAAATTGAAGACTACGTACTGAACAATGCCACGATCATACTTTGCACTGCTGCTAGCTCATTTAATCTGCGCCGCGTCCGTGATTTCCAGCCGTTTGAGCTCCTTGTTATCGATGAGGCGGCGCAGCTCAAGGAGTGCGAGTCGCTGATACCTCTACAGCTTGGTATCCACCGTGCTGTTCTTATCGGTGATGAATGCCAGCTACCAGCGCTTGTCAAAAGCAAGGTAATGTTTTTCTTTTTCTTCTAGCCTGTCCGTCGGTCAGTCCTGGTGTATCAGATCAAGCAATGCTCACACTCACAATTGGCTGCTGCAGCTCAGCGCTGAGGCTGGCTTTGGAAGAAGTCTGTTCGAGAGGCTGTGCTTGCTAGGACACCCGAAGCACCTCCTCGATGTGCAGTACAGGATGCACCCAGAAATAAGCAAGTTCCCCATCTCAAGTTTTTACTGTAGGAAGGTGACAGATGGCCCCAACGTCCTTCACAGAGACTACGAGAGGAAGCTCCTGGACGGCCCAATGTATGGCCCCTACTCCTTCATCAACATCCAAGGTGGGATCGAAAGCTCGGGCATGCATGGCACGAGCCTGAGCAACGCTGCTGAGGTCGCTGCGGTGACCCGGATTGTGCAGAGATTGTCCCAAGGTATGCTGCAGCTACCTAGATATTTAGCAGCTGTAGATTCATCAAACATATTTCCTTTCCTTTGCTTCCTATCATCAGTTGACTAGTTTGGGTTCGTGTGTACGGAGTCAGTTGACATAAGAAGCAAGCTCAGCGTGGGCGTGGTATCGCCATACAAGGCCCAAGTCCGTGCCATCCAGGAGAGCCTTGCTTTGGAGCACGACAAGTATGGCGGTTTATCCGTAAAGATCCGAACCGTGGACGGGTTCCAGGGTGCCGAGGAGGATGTTGTCATCTTCTCCGCCGTGCGGGCCAATACCCATGGATCGGTCGGGTTCCTCTCCGATCAGAGGCGTACCAATGTGGCACAAACACGGGCCAAGTGAGTGAACAATTAGTCGCCTGGTTGGTTGAGAGGACTTCTTCAGCTCATAGAAAAATTGGGGTCATATGTGATCTTGCTACTTCAGTTCTGCACACTTCTGTTGCTGTGTTCTTTTTCAGGCATTGCTTCTGGATTCTTGGTGATGCGGCTACGTTGTCGAGCAGCAGGACAATCTGGCAGAAGATAGTGGCCGATGCAAAGGAAAGAGGATGCTTCTATGATGGCAACGACGACAAAGACCTCTGTTCTGTGGTGAGCGTCGCGATCAAGAAGGATGAAGTCAACCGTCTGCTCAAGATGGTGGATGCTCGTCTTGGTATATGCAGCTCATAATCTTGGGTATGATCGAGTAAATCAATCCTTGGCACTGCATCTTAATTTCAGAACTAACTTAACTGTCGAAAGAAGCATCTGACAGTAGGTGTTGCAACTACCGTTTCTTCCCTTCAGAAATCCAAGACGGACTAACTATGAACTTCTAAACGGGCAGGCATAGGGATGTGCACTGACCGCTGATGCAGTTGCTAATCTCTTTGATCGTCAGTCGAGTACTCGCCAGAGGCCAACCGCAGGAACTTACAGAGCCATTTTTTTCCAAAAAGGAGGATTACCCCCGGCCTCTGCATCAAGTGATACACGCAGAGGAACTTACAGAGCCATGTGCGCAGATAACATACTAACTCTTGGTTGGCACTTTGCTTGTTTGAGCCTGTAGGTTTCTGTTTTTGTGCATGTAAGATGTTCTCAGAGGAGTTTGGAGTGTGCGCAGCAGCGGTGATATTTCACGTGTGTGAGGTGGAACAGAAAGGATATTACTTATTACCTGGTAGCTGATTAGTTTTGGTTCTTGATCGTAAGAGGATGGCCAGGGTATAATCATGTTGGACTATGTAGTCTGATTCCAGAAATGAAATTGAGGAGCTGAGCTCCTTTCCTTGAAAAAAATAGTACTAATTCCTGTGTTATAGCGGTGATATGAAAGCCTTGGGATGGCCAGAAGGCCATTGTTCTTTTGAGGGAACTGCATTACTCGTTGAATTCCCTCTTGGGCTGCAATGCAAGTGTTACCGTGCATCTAGATGAAGCATAGTTAGAATGTCATTCACATGTCTGAACAGTCTCAGTTGCTCATTGCTGAATATTTCCTTACTATTCATTGTACTTGCTACTTGGTACATATCTACGTACTATAGATTCATGGTATGGAATTGACACTTGAAAGCTGCTAGTCATCCCTTGTGTTTGTATGCTTGTGTTGCGTTTCAGTCTCTATATGGCTGTGTTGCTTTTACCAAGGAACGTCCGACTTGGATGGCCTTATGTTTTTTCTTCTAATCCATTAATGATAAGAGAAGTAAGTATATATCAGAGAAGCCTCCGCAAAGGTCTGATTTGTTAAAACGCAAATTATATCATATGAATAAAACAGTAGTTCGAATAATTGATTAAACCAGTTTGCTTAAGACTTCATTATTGTAAAATATGTGACCTCAACCAATGGCTTCAGATTATAAATCTTGAAGTGAGAAGAGAAGGACCAATTCCTCCCCACCAAACGAACTATCAACAAGCCAAGAATGCTTGATTACAATAATTAGAACTATGTTAGTAATGTTTTTCATTAATAAAATCTATCTATCTGTTATTTTAGGGGAAAATCGATGGAGCATACTGTCTTCCTGTGCTAGTACCTCTCAATAAGATTTTTCTCTAAAGCACTTGCATGAATGCAGAAATCGCATGCATCATGCTGACATCATTGTATGAAATTAAAATTATTAATTATTATTTTTTTATCTTACCAAGCGCTAATCTAATTAGCGGTCATCTTCACCAGTGCGTTCGTCTTGACAAGTGCTTAAAATCATGATCACATGTTGTCATATTTTCACAAAAAAGAAAACCTGGCAGAGATGGTGTTGGTTGTGTGCATCATAACCATACAAAGGTCGGGTGTGTGCTCATTGTGTTTCTATCCGCTCGATCTTCCTTTTGAGTTAATAAGATCCACTCTTTATCCAAAAAAATAAGTATTGGACGAGCTCTCAGAGCCTCTTTAGTTCGCATGATTCTAAAAACGTAAGAATAGAAAACAAGAATATGACAAAATTGTCACAAAGGATTAAAAATACTGGAATTTTGAAAGCATTAGGTTCACATGAATAGGAAACACATGAATACTTGGTCAACTCAAAGTCAAGCCACATGAAAAAGTATAATTAGAGTATAACAACGCCACTAAGGATCTTAGTCTTTTTCTTCGTGCTTAGGAATTTTAAGAAGAGGTCCATGCGGACTGTAAAATTTATGTGTTTTTTGTTTTGAAACAGAGATTAAGGAAAAACTATTCATTTTCTCTTTGCGACAGATCCAGGGGCGGAGCCAGGATGTCAACATAGTAGATTATTCTAATAGAAGGGCACAGCCCGTCGAGTACACATTTTCTTTTAAAGAAAGTAGAATAAAAACGAATATAATTAACATGATAAGGCTCATGATCTGTTTGTTATCGCAGTGAAAATCATCCACAAAAAGGGATAATTAGTTAATAGTCTTACATCATTTGATAAATATATGATCTTTGTCTTCTACGTAAGTAAATTGTATAGGTCATCAGTAAAAATATAAATACAGTAATCAATCTTAATTCATAAGAGTGGAGCTTGTATATTGTTGTACCTTGATTAGGTCAAGATGCGTAGACATAATTAGCAAACAACGATCGGATGCCTAGATGCCACGGCGGGGCCGCAGTGCATTGCTTCAATAGCGCCAGCAATCCAGTCAGCACCTATGAAATCCAGCACGGAAGCCATCATCTTTTAAGGGCCACGGAGATTGATGCTTTTAGGATTCAGATCGTGCATATGTCGTACCTTTAGGTTTCAGACTGCAAAGAACTAGAGATCGATCAATTCACACGGTAGTTTCCTTCCTGGCAGGCGAGACGGCGGCCGCGGCGGCGACGGCATGAGTAGAAGATAGGAATCATCCCTGCTCTGTACCCTCGTCCAATGCAGATGGCCTAGGGCCTCATAGGTACGTACATGGCCATATGTCCAAATAGGTCTTTCCTTTTTATTGGGCCGTGTATATCTGTTGGTCTTAATCTCTAATTAGTGCTAATTAAATGCATGCTGCCAACTTATACATATATAGTAGTTTCCGTAACTCCATAGGGGGGCGAAGCGACGGAGGGTGTCTGACCCCTGCTCGCACCCCCCTGTCTCCGCCCCTGGACACAGGGGCGGAGCCAGGATATCGACATAGGGGGGGCGAAGGGGATATAATAGATTATTCTAATAGAAGGCACAGCCCTTCGAGTACACGTTTTCTTTTAAAGAAAGTAGAATAAAAACGAATATAACATAATAAGGCTCATGATCTGTTTGTTATCGCAGTGAAAATCATCCAGAAAAAGGGATAATTAGTTAATAGTCTTACATCATTTGATAAATATATGATCTTTGTCTTCTACGTAAGTAAATTGTATAGGTCATCAGTAAAAATATAAATACAGTAATCAATCTTAATGCATAAGAGTGGAGCTTGTATATTGTTGTACCTTGATTAGGTCAAGATGCGTAGACATAATTAGCAAACAACGATCGGATGCCTAGATGCCGCGGCGGGGCCGCAGTGCATTGCTTCAATAGCGCCAGCAATCCAGTCAGTACCTATGAAATCCAGCACAGAAGCCATCATCTTTTAAGGGCCACGAAGATTCATGCTTTTAGGATTCAGATCGTGTATATGTCGTACCTTCAGGTTTCAGACTGCAAAGAACCAGAGATTGATCAATTCACACGGTAGTTTCCTTCCTGGCAGGCGAGACGGCAGCGATGGCATGAGTAGAAGATAGGAATCATCCCTGCTCTGTACCCTCGTCCAATGCAGATGGCCTAGGGCCTCATAGGTATGTACATGGCCATATGTCCAAATAGGTCTTTCCTTTTTATTGGACCGTGTATATCTGTTGGTCTTAATCTCTAATTAGTGATAATTAAATGCATGCTGCCAACTTATACGTATATAGTAGTTTCCATAACTCCATAGGGGGGCGAAGCGACGGGGGGTGTCTGGCCCCTGCTCGCACCCCCTGTCTCCGCCCCTGGACACAGGGGCGAAGCCAGGATGTCGACATAGGGGGGGCGAAGGGGACATAATAGATTATTCTAATAGAAGGCACAGCCCGTCGAGTACACGTTTTCTTTTAAAGAAAGTAGAATAAAAACGAATATAACATGATAAGGCTCATGATCTGTTTGTTATTGCAGTGAAAATCATCCACAAAAAGGAATAATTAGTTAATAGTCTTACATCATTTGATAAATATATGATCTTTGTCTTCTACGTAAGTAAATTGTATAGGTCATCAGTAAAAATATAAATACAGTAATCAATCTTAATTCATAAGAGTGGAGCTTGTATATTGTTGTACCTTGATTAGGTCAAGATGCGTAGACATAATTAGCAAACAACGATCGGATGCCTAGATGCCGCGGCGGGGCCGCAGTGCATTGCTTCAATAGCGCCAGCAATCCAGTCAGTACCTATGAAATCCAACACGGAAGCCATCATCTTTTAAGGGCCACGGAGATTGATGCTTTTAGGATTCAGATCGTGTATATGTCGTACCTTCAGGTTTCAGACTGCAAAGAACCAGAGATCGATCAATTCACGCGGTAGTTTCTTTCCTGGCAGGCGAGATGGCGGCCGTGGCGGCGACGGCATGAGTAGAAGATAGGAATCATCCCTGCTCTATACCCTCGTCCAATGCAGATGGCTGATACGTCTCCAATGTATTTATAATTTTTTATTGCTCCATGCTATTTTATCTACTGTTTTGGACTATATTGGGCTTTACTTTCCACTTTTATATTATTTTTGGGACTAACCTATTAACCGGAGGCCCAGCCCAGAATTGCTGTTTTTTTTGCCTATTTCAGTATTTCGAGGAAATAGAATATCCAACGGAGTCCAAACGAAATAAAACCTTCGGGAACGTGATCTTCTCACCGAACGTGATCCAGGAGACTTGGACCCTACTCCAAGAAGTTTCCGGGGAGGTCACGAGGGTGGAGGGCGCCCCCCCTGGGCGTGCCCCCCTGCCTCGTGGGCCCCTCGAAGCTCCACCGACGTGCTCCTTCCTCCTATATATACCTACGTACCCCCATTACACCAGAGACAGAGCCAAAAACCTAAGTCCACCGCCGCAACTTCCTGTATCCACGAGATCCCATCTTGGGGCCTGTTCCGGAGCTCCGCCGGAGAGGGCATCCATCATGGAGGGCTTCTACATCAACACCATAGCCCTTCCGATGAAGTGTGAG